ATATCAATATTTAATAAAAGAAATAAACCAACTAATGTGAAATCGAATACCATTTAACTTAAATATTGAAAATAACACCAAATAAATTATAATGTTTTTATCCTTGTGCAAAAAAATACAACATTCAATGTTAAAGTTATAATTGTTGCATAATTTCCTCTCCTCCAAACAAAACAATTGACACCCCACCACTTTTACTGGATTACAGTAGCTTCCTAGACACAGCAAGCACAGTACTATTATTTGACGTATTGGTGACCTAGTACGTAATTTTTTAGTGTTCTTGAACGTATCAAAACAATCAACACCCTACCACTTTTGAATTACAGAAGCTTATTCCCGGATACAGCCACGCCGCCGCCAACAAGGGGAAGATGCAATAGCCCCAACAAATCCAGCGTCGCGACGCCAGCCTAGTCGAATTCGCCAACCAGTCGAATAGAAGTACAACTTGACCTCGACGTCAGCGACGTCACTCACTCTGTCCACAACTTCACCGACGAAATTAACAGCCTGTCGCATCGAATATCACCGTACAGTAAATCCAAAATGCAGCGTACCATGGAATGATGGTTTTCAAATTTCAGCAAATTTTAATTTATTTTCGTTTTCAATAGGTAATCTATGGCTCCGTCAAGTTAGCCCCCCACATTCGAATTTTCTAAAAAAATTGCAACCAATTACTGTGCTCGAAGTGTGCTTTACTGTGCCAATGATATTTTGTACTGTGTCGTTTCGATAACAAAGTTATAGGAAAAAATAGATGAGGGGCTAACTTGACGCTCAGCCCCCCCAAAATTTTGGAAATCAGATGAAAACAAAAAGGATTCTTATCCAATCTGAAGTGTGCTGAACTGTGCCGTATCAGGTTTTTCTCAAAATTCCCATATTCGGCCATTTTCCGACAAAATTCTACTGGGGGGCTAACTTGACGCTCAGCCCCCCCAAAATTATGGAAATCAGATTAAACAGAATTGAATTCTTATCCAATCTACAGTGTGCTGTATCAGGTTTTTCTCAAAATTTCCATATTCGGTCATTTTCCGACAAAATCCTAATGGGGGACTAACTTGACGCTCAGCCCCCCCAAAATTTTGGAAATTAGATTAAACAAAATTGAATTATTATCCAATCTGAAGTGTGCTGAACTGTGCTATATCAGGTTTTTACGAAAATTTCCATATTCGGTCATTTTCCGACAAAATCCTACTGGGGGGCTAACTTGACGCTCAGCCCCCTCAAAATTTTGGAAATCAGATTAAACAAAATTGAATTTTTACCCAATCTGAAGTGTGCTGAACTGTGCTGAATCAGGTTTTTCTCAAAATTTTCATATTCGGTTATTTTCCGACAAAATAATCATACTGGGGAGCGGGGAGCCAATTTAAAGCTCAGCCCCCCAAAATTTTGAAAATCAGAATAAACAAAATTGAATTATTTTCCAATCTGAAGTGTGCTGAACTGTACTGTATCAGGCTTTTCTCAAAATTTCCATATTCGGTCATTTTCCGACAAAATTCTACTGGGGGGCTAACTTGACGCTCAGCCCCCCCAAAATTTTGGAAATCAGATTAAACAGAATTGAATTCTTATCCAATCTACAGTGTGCTGTATCAGATTTTTCTCAAAATTTCCATATTCGGTCATTTTCCGACAAAATCCTAATGGGGGGCTAACTTGACGCTCAGCCCCCCCAAAATTTTGGAAATTAGATTAAGCAAAATTGAATTCTTATCCAATCTGAAGTGTGCTGAACTGTGCTATATCAGGTTTTTACGAAAATTTCCATATTCGGTCATTTTCCGACAAAATCCTACTGGGGGGCTAACTTGACGCTCAGCCCCCTCAAAATTTTGGAAATCAGATTAAACAAAATTGAATTTTTACCCAATCTGAAGTGTGCTGAACTGTGCTGAATCAGGTTTTTCTCAAAATTTTCATATTCGGTTATTTTCCGACAAAATAATCATACTGGGGAGCGGGGAGCCAATTTAAAGCTCAGCCCCCCAAAATTTTGAAAATCAGAATAAACATAATTGAATTATTTTCCAATCTGAAGTGTGCTGAACTGTACTGTATCAGGCTTTTCTCAAAATTTCCATATTCGGTCATTTTCCGACAAAATTCTACTGGGGGGCTAACTTGACGCTCAGCCCCCCCAAAATTTTGGAAATCAGATTAAACAGAATTGAATTCTTATCCAATCTACAGTGTGCTGTATCATCTACATCTGCTGTATCAGGTTTGCTCAAAATTTACATACTTATTCGGTTATTTTCCGACAAAATCCTACTAGCTAACTTGACGTTCAGCTCTGAGAATTTACATACATACCATCCATTAGGTTTATATCGGGAAATGGCCAAACATGGAAACTTGGAATAACCTGATCAGGCACAATTTAGCTCACTCCAGATTTGATAAGTATAAGAGTCATTTTTCTTTGATCTGATTTCTAAAATTTGGTATTAACTTAGCCCCCTCTTAGTTTTTTGTCGGAAAATGACCGAATATGGAAATTTTGAGAAAAACCTGGTACAGCACAGTTCAGCACACTTCAGATTGGATGAGAATTCAATTTTGTGCAAACTGATTTTCGAAATTTTGGGGGGGCTGAGCTGAGCGTCAAGTTAGCCCCCCAGTAGGATTTTGTCGGAAAATGATCGAATATGGAAATTTTCGGAAGAACCTGATACAGCACAGTTCAGCACACTTCAGAATGGATAAGAATTCAATTTTGTTCAATCTGATTTCCAAAATTTTGTGGGGGCTGAGCGTCAAGTTAGCCCCCCAGTAGGATTTTGTCGGAAAATGACCGAATATGGAAATTTTCAGAAAAACCTGATACAGCACAGTTCAGCACACTTCAAATTGGATAAGAATACTTTTTGGTTTTATCTGATTTCCAAAATTTTGGGGGGGCTGAGCGTCAAGTTAGCCCCTCATCTATTTTTTCCTAAAACTTTGTTATCGAAACGGCACAGTTCAAAATATCATCGGCACAGTAGAGTAGGGCTCGGAATTTTTAAAATTCAAGTATTCGAATAGTCGTTTGGTATTTTATTCGAATAGTCGAATATTCGAATAGTGGAATATTCGAATATTCGAATAGTCGAATATTCGAATAGTCGAATAGTCGAATATTCGAATAGTCGAATAGTCGAATAGTCGAATAGTCGAATATTCGAATAGTCGAATAGTCGAATATTCGAATATGTAGTCAAAAAGTCGAATATTCGAATAGTCAAATATTCCGATAATCATTTAGATTAGTTATTTTGTACCTACTTCGTCGTACGGTTAGTAGTTGTCTATTTTTAATTAAATACCGGTAACCCCGGTAACCGGAATAGTCGTTTAGGTAACTATTGAAAATCTGAACAATATTTTATTCAAATTTGTAATGTATAGGTTTTTTTTTAAGTGGGCTGGCAGGTACCTACTAGGTAGATAGTCCAATCTTCAAATAGTCGAAAAGTCGAATATTCGAATATTATTCAAATAGTCGAATATTCGAATAGTCGAATAATCGAATATTCGAATAGTCGAATAATCGAATATACGAATAGTCGAATAATCGGATATTTGAATAGTCGAATAATCGAATTATTCGAATACAATTCCGAGCCCTACAGTAGAGCACACTTCGAGCACAGTAAGTGGTTGCAATTTTTTTAGAAAATTCGAATGTGGTGGGGCTAACTTGACGCAGCTGGTAATCTATTTTGTTAATATTATCATTTTTCAAGTGGTTCAATTTTTTTGAGTTAAAAGGTTTTCGTTGGCAAGGTTAATATTTTATTATATAGTTTAGGTTTTTAATTATCTTATATTATTATACCATTCATTCAATTATAGGGAAATGTATACTTAGGGACATCAAATAAATATTTTTTTGTATAAGCTAATTTTTTTTTTTGTATTGTTTTTCTTTTTGTAAAGATTCAATTTTTTTCCACTCAATTTCTCTCTTCTTACATTGAAATGTTTAAAATGTTTATTTTTATATATATTTTTTTTTTGTTTAAAATTTTTATTTATTTATTTATTTATTTTTTTCAACATTTTCAGCTGGGGTCCAGCTTTCTGTAGCGCGGGGGAAATGTCAAGCCAAAGAATAACACCCATTATAATATGTATTAATTATATTATAATTCGAAAGTTCATTGACATGTCGTATTGTTCTAATTTAGTTTCCTGTACAACAGGATAAACGATTATTACCAATATTGGGCAATAGCCATTGCAATGAATGATTAGACACATCAGCAAAAAACTTGGTGCAACGACCCAAGTTTGAGGAATCAATAATTTCTTGCTGTCAAAGTATCGAATTGGTACAGAGCCGCTTTCCAGTATGCACATTGACGCGCTCTAGAGCACCTCGGGGGCGCCACGCACTAGATTTGTTCCGTTCCAGTATCATGGCGTGAGACGCCTGTCTTAGTGTCAAATATGTCAAATTTTAAAAATAATTATCTGTTTGTTTGTGCAGTTTGTTTTTTTATTTATCAAAAATGAAAGAGAATCAAAACTATATATTTTAAAATGTTCAATCTTGAGATATAACAAGAAATAAATAGATAAATAGCCACCCACGGATGTGACAGCTGATAGGTTGACGCGTACGTACAGCTCGGGAGCTCTACGCCCCGAGTAGCTCCGGGCGTCGCACTCCCATACTGGAAAGCGGCTCTGGTATTCAAAAGTATCGAAACTTTACATCACTACCAGATGCGTCACCAAGTTACCCTCTACCAGACAACCTATTAAATTTAGGAACCTTGGAGGCAACCTACCTCTCTTCAAACAGCCTTGGTGCATGAGCACGTTCCAGCCTTGTGTTAACTTATAACCTTGAACCGCGAATTCTTTCGCATCTGTAGTTTAGGTGATCTGTGACTGTGATTTTAACACCAAGTTATCGAACGTACTCTTCCTTCAGTTCCACTTCAAACTAACTTCACTTTTGTAAATAAATCATGGCCTTTCCTCTGACCTCTGTATGTTTATTGTTTATATTTATTTAAATAAATATTTAATTAATTTTGTTACATTTTATATTATGTGATGTGTTGATAATATGATGGCAGATCCTCTAGTGTGTGGTGTTTCATAAATGTATAAACAACAATGTAGTGAATTTTCAAATAGACAAAACTCCCCAAAGATGAACACCTCATCATGAAGAAACCTAAAAAATCATTCCTTTTGCACGCATTCCTATTCATAATCCTAATATGTTTAGTCTATTTTGCCTTCATTACTATAAATCTTAAAAATAATCCACCTCCCACACCTTCCAGTGCCGTGTTCCACAGTTTCACCACTAATGCCTCAACGATAACAAAAAATCTTGACTACAATATATGGCTTATATTCACAAAGGTATCCACCAAATCTCCATTGACTGTTAAGTTTGAAAATCTCCTTTATAGTTTGTTGAATGTTTCCTCGGTGCTTCTAAATTTTAATATTATTGTTGATGAAAAGTCCAAGAGTATTGCTTTACTTAAGCTCACTGAAATTATGGTAAAAGCTAATAAAAGCATGAATTATAAATTCTACGATGTACAGGATTGTGCTAGGAAAATTACAGATATTTATGATGCTATGATGCCTTTCTTTAGCTCAAAGCCTGGTAAGTATTGTTGTAATTCAAGTTTTCACAACAATAAGTGTATTTTCAACTTTTCAGGTACATATTACAGTGATGCACTCTTTTACATATCCCTAGGATTATACAGGGTAGCTCCTATAAAGCAAAAGAGAGCCATTTTATTAGACTGTGATCTTTATTTTAAAAAAGATGTTGCTTTGTTATTTGAGGAGTTTCAATGGTAAGTACTTAATATTTCTTTATAATATCGTTATATCTAAATTATTTGTTTTTCTAGGTTCAAATCTACTGCCTTTTTTGGCTTGGCCCCAGAACTAACTCCAGTCTACAAACACATTCTGCACATGTACAAACGCAAACATAAAACCACTTTTGGTGAATTTTACCATCAACGACCATTAAGTCCAAGCAGTCCTAACCATCCTAAAGGTTTCCAAGGTTACAACAGTGGAGTGGTCTTAGTAGATTTTGAAAAACAACGGAATTCCACAGAATTTTCTAAAATAATCACCAAAGAAAGTGTTATAAATATGACAGAAAAATATAAGTTTAGGGGGCATTTGGGAGATCAAGATTTTTATACTTTATTAGGCTATGAGTATCCTGAGCTTATACAAACATTAAATTGCGGATTCAATAGGCAATTGTGTACATGGTGGAGGGATCATGGCTATAGGGAAATTTTCGATTATTATTTTAAATGTGATCATCCCATTGTGGTTTTGCATGGGAATTGTAATACTAGAATACCCATGGATTATGTTAATCCTCAGAAAAATCTCACCTTGTGATAAAAAAAGCTTAAAAGAGGGCTAAAATTTTTTGTACATTAGTACACATCTGAATTATGTTAAGAAATCTTTCTGAGAAATAATAGGTATGACTTTCACAGTTCTTCTGTAGATCGAACATTTGAAAAATGTTACTTTTGCAGTCTGGACTGTGAAGTTTTTTATGCAAAACATAGGAATTATTGAAACATTGATTTTGCTTGTTTAACAAAATAAAGTTCAATTTAACTTTTTGTTAAAATCCATTAGTTTGATTCGACGTCTGATTACTTCTCTTTAATCTGGCAATACTCAAAACAATTTGTGAAGGGTTTCGGCAATAGGGCGAATTTTAATGTTTTATTAGTATTTATTTTGATTTCATTGATTCAGCACCTACGCAAAGTCTCTTTGCACACTTGTTAGGAACATAAATAATACACACCTAATTTTTTTTTTTTAATAACCTCTAGTTATAGAACAATCCTTGCCATTAGAAATTAGCCATTCACAAATAATTTCTCAACAAGTGCAATTAGTAGTTTAATATTATTATCAACCCTTAGGGTTATAGATTTTATTTTATTTTTATTTTTTTCAATTTTTATTATAGTATCAGTTTTATTAGTTTACAAATATATTTTAATATAAATTTGATGTTGTACTTAATAAATATTATTTTACTCACAAAATTCCTAACAACGATAAATATTGTTTTAAAAAAGTTAACACACATTTTAACACTAAAAAAGTTTTAAAACAGCAAAAGAGTAATAGTAATTATTATTACGTAATGTTTTTAAAGTTTGTAAGCTTGTCTCATCATCAAATCAAAATAACAGTCGTTATCTATTGAGGCGCTGATTGCTGCATAGTAGTTGAAGAATTCTTCTTTGGTTACCTGAAAAATAATAAAAAAAAATCCTCAGGAAATTAATTTTTTGCTGATAACATTGGTGAAAGTAAATAATCTCAAATGAAATTTCAAATAGGTTGGAGTAGATGTTTACAATCGCCTATCTCAAACAGATCCAAAATATTGGCCGAGAGCAGTCATAAATAGCTGATTGGATGCAATGTGACAATAATTGCGAAATTTTCTGGTAAGCAAACAAAAATAAAAATTCCTGTCATCGTTTACCTTTCCATCCCTAGTTGCGTCCTGTTCAAAATTCCCTAAGAATTTTTTTAATATACCCTCTTCACTGTCTTCCCCAGAAATATATCTTGGGTGTGATTTAACATTATATACATTTTTCAAATCTTCAATAGTAATTTCACCATCTTTTGTTTTATCCATTTTATTGAACGCCTCCTCAATGACTTTTTTTCTGGAATCGCTGAGGGGAGGCTAAAAAATTAACTTATGTTGAATGTCAACACATCTTGTTATAGTAGAAAATAGAGTCCCCAAATAATGAAACTAAATTTCTCAGTAATTTCCAAACGAAATGTTTCTTACCCTAATATGAACCAAAAACTCCTCCATGTTAATGCTGCCGCTACCATCAGTATCAAACTTTGCAAACATCTCTTTGATTTCATCATCACTGATGTTCAAGCCCATTTCTTTCAGACCTAAAGTAAACTCTTCCAGATTTAAATTTTTGTTACCGTCTTCGTCCATCCTGCGAAACATCCTGCCTAACCCCAAGATACCAGTAGCTCCTCTGGACAAACATAATAGTCGTAACCTTTGCACTGGATCAGCAGTGCCTGCTTGAAGCTCTCTTAAACTTTTCGCAGCCATTTCAGCTTCTTGTCGCGACGTGGCGCTTTGCGGTCTTGGCATACTACAAACCAATAAAAATTTCAAACAATAATATGGGAAAACTTCTGAGCCTACTTTGAATAAATTGTTAGGAAAATTATCACCATGCCTTACCAATTGGACGATCCCTTTGTATTCCCTTATGACAAAATAATTATTACAAGGTGCGGCAGCCTATTACACTCATTAATGACAAAATAAAACATTTAAGATCGTTTTAGATTAGTGAACATGGTAAACGATGACTAACTAATAACAAATACAATTTTTTTTTTTCGTAACCACAACCAAGGTTGTTGATCTACTTATTCTTTTATGGTATGATTTGATACTGATTCATTTATTTTGTTGGTCTGGTTATGGTAGAACAAGTTTAATTTTTATGTGAAGATGTAATTTTATTGTACAGGGCGGGCCAATGGAAACTTTGAAATCTGGAAAAATGCTCGGACATGTCGATTTTTGATTTGAGGGGAACTATTTTACAGTTTTTTTCATCCCTATAGCTTTAACCCCCTAGCTGGGGAAAATCTTGGTCAATCTTGGAAATAGACTATTGTTTTAGTAGTAGTAAAAGCGATACTTACCTTCTTTAATAAAAATACTTTAAATTAAAGTTTTTTATTATTATGGATTAGGTGTACACGTGAATTGTAAATTTTAAGTATTTTTATCAAGGGTGGTAAGTATCGCTTCTACTTCTATCAAAACAATAGTCTAGTTCCAAGATTTTGACAAGCTATCATTTTATTACAGATAAAATAATGAGACGAAATTTTAGGGTCATAAAGAACTCGATGAGACCTTTAAAGAGGTATGACTCGACCCCTATCCCCTATTCAAATTTGGGAGGTTGTTCTCCCCCCAGCTAGTGGTTTGAAGCTACGGAGATGAAAAAAACTGTAAAATATTTCCCCCTCAAATCAAAAATCGACGTGTTCAAGCGTTTTTCTAGATTTTTATTTCAAATCGAAAAAATCGGGCTGAAAATTTTTCATTGGCCCACCCTGTATAGGTAGGTACAAGGTGGACTGAAAAATGAAGACCTACATATCAATAGAGAAGCATCGAGTTCTGCATGAACCTCATTTCAAAACATTACAAAATTTGGCTGTAAGCTCAAAAAATCCTGATACTGCTTTTCCAGCTAATTTTGGCCATAGATGCGTCATATAAATGAGTAACTGCGTACTACGTATACTCAAAATCATTGAACTGGACAAACAACATTTCAAAATTAGGTAAACGAATAAAAACATTTCTGCCGCAACTTCAAGTGTACAAGCGATTAATCACCTTTCCTCGGCAGGCAAGATACAATGCGCAACAAAAGTCTCCCTTGAACTCTTAAAAGAAGGATTACTATTAGATAATATGTTCAGTTGAATGTAACGTTAATGGTAATGTTTTTCCAATAGAAGTCCAGATTTTATGGAAACAATAAGAGTTGACCTTGTTCATCGGCAAATATGGCAATTATTGTCTCGTACCGTGCAGAACTATATATTGATCACTTTACCAAGAGAACTTTCAACCAAATCGACTATATTCTAACGAAGAACATCCAACTAGTACAAAACGTCGAGGTATTGAACAGATTTAATACTGGAAGTGACCATCGTTTGGTGAGGGCAAGAATAAGCATAAACCATAAACTAGAGCGTTGCAGAAAAATCAAAAAGTCGATACACAAACAGATTGACAGAGAGAAACTCCAACACGACCCAAATATACCTGGGAAACAGATTCAAAGAGCAGAGACCGAGTACCCATCCCATGACATAAACGAAGCAAACAAAATGATCACTAGAACCCTAAACCAAGCAGCAGAAGCGTACACAGAAACAAAAACTATAAAGCAAAATAAACTAAGCGCGCAAACACTAAATATGCTAGATAAAAGACGACAACTTATAACAAATAACAAAAGATCATCAGCAGAATACGCCGAAACAAATAAAATCGCCAGAAAGAGGGCAAAGGAGGACATCAGAAAACACAATGAGAAAATCGCGCAAAAAGTACTGGAACAACACAAAGGGACGAAAGTGTTCAAAATACTAACGACGAACACAAAGAAAGAAATTGTCAGAATCAAAGACAAAACAGGACAAAGAATCCAAGACAAGACATTATAAGAACGAATGGTACAAGAATTCTATACAGACCTATACGAGACGAAAGTAACTAGCGACATATCCGAACAAGACCAGGAAGTGAAAGTCATGAACGTCAACTCTGAAGACATACCTGAGATTCTATCTATCTATTCAGCCTTCTTCAGTCCATCTTTGGACATAGGCCTCCCCCAGTCTTCTCCATTCTTCTCTGTCTGTTGCCATGTTCATCCACCTGGTTCCAGCGTGCTTCTTCAGGTCATCAGCATGCCTCATCTGGGGTCTTCCTCTATTTCTTTTATTCTCCCAAGGTCTCCAGCTTAAGATACTTACATTTATTCCATCGGTCGTCTTTTTGTCTGATATTGTGACCTGCGAATTTCCATTTTAATTTTGCTACCTCCTTTCTAACGTTTTATTTCTAATCCACTCGTTCCTCTTTTTATCTATCAGTTTCACATGTAACATTTGTCTTTCCATTGATCTTTGTGCTTTTGTTATTTTATCCATGTTTGACTTTGTAAGTGTCCATGTTTGGGATCTATAGGTGAGAACAGGAAGTATACATTGATTATAAACTTTGGATTTGAGGTATTGTGGATATTTTCTATTTTTCAAGATGTAGCTTAATTTACCGAATGTTGCCCAAGCTAATCTAACTCGTCTCTTGATTTCTGCTGTTTGGTTTTCTTTGCTGAGTTTAATAATCTGTCCCAGATATATATATATTCGTCGACTTGTTCTATTTTTCGCTGTCCTATTCTGATCATGATGTCATCGTCTGTGTTGGTTTTAGCGTAGTTCATATTGAGACCTATGTTTTTAGCTGCTACGTCAAGTTCTTCCAGCATTTCTGTCAGCTCTTCTTTCTTATCAGTTATAAGGGCGATATCATCAAGTTGCTCAAGTGTTGTCCGCATATTTTTATACCTTTTTCCTCCCGGTCTAGTTTTTTAAAAACATCTTCCAGAGCCTGGTTGAAAAGTTTGGGTGATATTGTGTCGCCCTGTCTGACACCTCTTCCTATGGGTATTGGTTTTGTTCCCTCATGGACTTTAATAGTTGTTGTTGCTTCGCTATATATGTTGGTTATTAGGTCTGTGTATCTGTAGTCTATTCTGCTATTAATTAATGAGCTCTTTACTGCCCAATGTTCAACACTATCAAAAGCCTTTTCGAAGTCGATAAATGCAATATATAGTGGGATGTGATATTCGTTGGCTCGTTCTATTAGGATTTTCATGGATGGTTAATAGGTGGTCACTTGTACTGAAACCCTTTCTGAAGCCGGCCTGTTCTTTCGATTGGTAACCATCGAATTTTATTTGAAGGGGTTCACACTAGGGTTGCCAACTTTCGGTTATTGCAATAAAGGACACATTTTGAAAAAAATTTTGGTGCTACGCCATTGAGGGTGCCAGTGAAGGCTACCATATTTTTTCTGTTTTCATAAAAAATCAGGACAGTTTCATGAAGCAGAGGTTTAATGTACCTACCAACATACATCCAGGAGAAAAGGTAAGAACCTTCCGCGTTTACTTTTTGTCTGGCAATCGAGAGAATAAAAGGTTTTGTTGTGAAAATAACGCTAAAAAATCGCCAGACTTTAATCATAGTTCGAAATCGAGCAAATCCGCAAAACATTCAATGGATATTTCGAACAGGGAGCAGGCTTTGAAACCACTTATATTCCTATCAGCTAACTAGCCACATTCAGCCCTCAAAATTCCAGATAAAAAAAAATGACTACACTAAACAGGCCCTAACTCAGGGTCTGTAAGGAAATACAGGATCTTGAGTTTTTTTTTAAGTCGCAATGACTATTTATGGTCGATCTAGCTGATTATTTTTAAAATTAAAAAATACATAAGTATATCAGAGAATACGGGACTTTTGCGCTTTCTGGTAACTAATTTAGGACGCGGGACATGGACCTTGAAATAAGGGATTGTCCTGTATAATACGGGACGTATGGCAGGCTTTGTCACTGTACCACTTCGAGAACCATCCAATTTTAGCTTCCTTCCAAATAACATTTTTAGGATATTAAATTTTATCTCAAATTCGGAGCTAGGGGATTTACCAAAATTATTCCAATGTTGCCAACTTTAGGACAAAATAAATTACCTATGTGGTGAATGATAGTGGCGGTACTTAAAAAAAAAAAAATATGCGTTTTTTTATATTTTCGGATTTTAGAGGACATTTGCCGCCCTTTAGCACCTTTCAAAAGGACAAAGGATATTATTCTAAAATAAAGGACTGTTCTCTGAAATAAAGGACGGTTGGCAACCTTAGTTCACACCCAAAGTAGGACCAAGTAGTTAAGCCGGAGGCAGAAATTTTTCTCGGGTGCCACGCCCAAAACGAATTTCAAAAAATAATTTGTGTGTTTTTCAATAATAAATTTTTTTTACGCAGTGGCGGATTTAGAGGGGGGGCGCGGGGGGCGCGCGCCCCCCCCCTATTGAGCAACGCAACAACGAAATTTTTAACGAAAACACAAACATATTCATCAAGCATTATCCAACATGAAATTCCATATGGTTTTTGCTATTTTTCCAAATTTTTAATACTTTTAAATACGTTTGGCAGCAGCGAGCTGGGAGCGAATCGACTGCGGATGACGTAAATCCGCACCAACTTTGAATTTAATCTATAATTGAAAATTCCAATTAAATTTAATCTCCGATTAAATTAAATGTTGATGTCAAATGATAGTTTATGAAAATCTAAGATAGGAATGTAAAATCGGTTTTCCTCTGAAATTAACCGTTTAGGTTTTACAGCCTGTCAAAGTTGCAAAAAGTCAATGTTCAACTGTCAATATTTCCAAAACAGTTGAACTTAGGTATAGGGTATATCACATGAAATCTGCTCAGAATTTTTCGTAGAATCCAAATA